TTTAGGAAGTGAATGCTCTCATGTGCAATTAACACATTGTCCAAAATCTGCCTACCAGGCACAAAAGCAGACTGAGATGAACTAATACAACAGTCCAACACAGTTTTAAATCTGTTGACTAAGACCTTGGAAATGATCTTGTAAATGACATTACACAGACTTATAGGTCTAAACTCTGTGATCAGGTTTGGGGATTCAGTTTTAGGAATTAGACTGATCAGGGTCTCATTTATGGACTTCAACATATGACCAGAGTGAAAAAAACTTTGAACAGCACTGATAACATCACTTTTAATAACATGCCAAAACTTTTGAAAAAAGATAGGGGACATACCATCTGGTCCAGGAGACTTGTTTGGATGCATGGAATTGACTGCCTGACTGATTTCTTCATCTGAAACTGGCCTTGTCAACTTTCTGTTCATTTCAGCAGTAATAGTCTGTGGAATTTCCTCCAAAATGGGATTGAAATCTGTTGGTTTATCTGTCGTGAACAGATGCTGAAAATAATCTACAATTTCCTCCCTAATCTCCTCCTCATTCTTGCACCACTCCCCACTTCTTCTTTTAAGTCCATTAATCCTATTCTGTTCCTCCTACTCATCACACTGGCATGGAAGAAGCTAGTGTTTTTGTCCCCCTCCTGAAGCCACTTAATCCTAGCCTTTTGACTCCAAAAGACCTCCTCCCTTCTATAAGCCTCTACTAACTTCCTTTTTAATCCAGTAATTTTTGCTCTACCCTCTCCTCCTTGACTCCCCTTTACCTCCTGAATTTCCTTCTTAATCTGCTTTATCTGTTTTTTTGAATTCAAATTAAGCTTTTTGCTCCAGTTCAACAGGTTCATTCGAACTTGCCTAATTTTCCTTTGCACTTTGTATAATCTTGACCCCTGCTGATCCATCTCCCAAGCTTCCTGAACCACCTCCCCAACCCCCTCCTGCATGATCCATCTCCTATCAAAAGTGAATCTCCTCTTCCTTGGCGTTTCCACAGGGGTCAGATCCAAAACTAAGGCACAATGGTCCGAAGCTTCTGTTTCCACATGAGTAACTCTAGCCTTTCCAAAATTTCCACACCACTGCCTTGTCCCTAACACCCTATCAATTCTTTCCTTAATCTCTCCTTCCTTATTCCAGTTGTTACACCATGTCCAAGGTACTCCCACAAAACCTAAATCTATTAAAGCAGTTCTATTAATGAAGCCATTGAAGCTCTCAAAACTGCTAGCAGGCCTAATTCTACCCCCCCATTTTTCCCCATTAGAAGTAATATCATTCAGATCTCCCATAAGGGCCCAACAGTCACCCCAAACCTGTGTCCTTCTCTCTAATACCCTCCACTGCTGCTCCCTAATCTTATCATCCGTACTGGCATACACACAAACACACCACCAATCTCTACCACCTCTATGATCCCCTATTAATAATTCTATGGTAAAACTAGTGAATAAAATGCTTTTCACCTGTATATCCTTCTTCCATATAACTGCTAAACCCCCTGCAATCCCCACAGGATCTACTACAAACAGCTCATCAAACTTCACCCACTGCTTAACACAGTTAATGAAACTCTTCTTCTTCTTTGTCTCTGATAAGAAAATCAGAGATGGAGAGTGGACTTGAACAAGTTCCTTAAGCTGGGGAATTGTCAAGGGGCTCCCCGCACCTCGACAGTTCCACACCAGAGCTCTCATTGGGGTGTGGGAGCCCCATTTAGGGAGGGCTCCACCACCTCAGATACCATCATCACATCTTCCACCCCGCCAACCAATCTGGCTTTCTTGTTGCACTCTAACTCCCTCAAATTCCCAGCCTGCTCACCCCCACTTCCATCCATTTTCCTCTTCCCTGGTTCCTGGCCATGCTGCATATCTATCTCAGCCAGTGGCTTCCTCATTCCCACCTCTTGCACAAGTCTTTTCCAGGTTCTACTCACCCTATACTTCCCTGTAGTGGTTTTATGCCCCTTACCTTCCTGAAGATCTGTTTTCCTTCCCCCTTCCCCCTCCTGTCCTTGCATTCCCTCCAGCACCCTAGTGTTGTTTTCAACGTCAACCCACATGGTGTCCTTACTACTCTCTCCCTTATCCACACTCACCACCTCTACTTCTTTGAGGTTCAGTAGATCTCCTTCCCTCTCCACTTCTGCTATTCCCTTAACCACCTCCCGCACATGGCCCCCATGAGTGAACTCATACCCCCCTCCCACATGCTTTATACCCCCCTCACCTTCCTGCTTTCCCTCCTCCTCCTCCCCTGGCCCCCTCCTTACTACTGTACCTTGGCCCTCCATCCCTTGGGATGAACTTTCTACCCTCCCTTTCCCCCTATGAAACTCCTTTGTGTAGGTCAGTAACGGACACTGTTGAGTCCCCTTCTCCTCATCTAAATTTTGGTCCCTGAAACCCCCTTTTTCTGCAGTATCCTGCTCCCCTTCATTCCTGCCTTTCTTCCTTGGACTCCTAGGGAAACTGGCTCGAAGCCAATTGCCATACTGATTCTCCCTGTCACTATTTATCCCTTTCCTAGTACAGATCCTCTCATTGTGTCCTACCCTCCCACAACAGAAACAAAAATCTGGACATTTTTCATACCTAAACTCGATCCATCTAGTCCCTCCACTACTCTTCACCATAGTCCCCCTAGGCAAAGGCTCGCTAAGATTCACCTCCGCCAGAATTTTCAGATGCTTACCCTCCTTGCCTCCTCCCTGAGGAATAATAACCTCTCTAACCCCCGCAAATATTCCTCCTATCTTACACCCAGCCTCCTTTGTTATCCAGTGAAGAGGTAAGTTCCAAACCTGAACCCACACTAAGGTCCTACTAAAGGCCTGCTCCTCCTCCTCCAGGTTCACCTGCCATTCCAACAATACCAGAGGTTGGCCATCATAGATCCAAGGTCTTTTGCTGAGCACCAGTTCAATATCCTTCCTCGATTCAAATACAAACTGGAACGTATTGACCTTAATCTCAGTAATTTTAACATTTCTCAACTGAGGCCACACACTGCTGGCAAAACTCCTCATGCCAGTAATATTAGCTACCTTCTCTCCCCAAACTCGCCCTATTAAGCTTGATCTACACTCCTTAATTCCCTTTTCCAATTCCTCCTTCCCCAAACAGACTCCCTCCCTCTCACTCTCAGATAAGGAGAATTTTCGCATTACCTCTTCTATCTGTTCCATTCTTACTGATTCCACAGACTATCCTGCCTCCAGATCCAGATCGTTGCAGAACCAGCTCAGCTTCCGAAATCGTCACCGTATTCCAGTTCCCCAAACTTCGTCTCCTTGACCTCTCAGCTACGCCCCTAGATCAACGGTCTATCTAAAAACCTGCAAAAACCAGACAAACCAGAAGAGCGTAAAAGACCGGAAGAACTCAGCGAAACACACAACGAACAATCCCGCAAAATTTATATGATGAGTTATATGGCTATTAGCTGTGAAAGCTCGAGCTCTACTAAGACAGATTGAAATCCTTAACAGAAATGCTTATTTTGGAAAGAAATCTAAAAATGGAAAGAGATTTGCTGAAAAATCAGTTATTTTGGGCTTCGGATTTTGAGATGTTGTTAAAAGAAAGCACGACTCCCAAGGAGGGAGATTTCTCTCTCTAGAGTAGAGAGAAAGAGGCTCTCATAGTGAGAGAATGAACGTATAAATTAAATACCAGAGGAATTGAAGATAGAATTAGCAGATCTAGTGTGGTTTAAGTGTGTCCTTCCTTCCCCAGCATGAGAAAACCGAAGTTTTGCTTCCTTAGCAGACATGTCCGCTAATTAATTACTTTAAGACATGTACGCTAATTACTCAGTCATTTAGCTTACAAGTTGTACTAAAAAAGGTTTTTTTTTTTTTTTTTTTTTTTTTTTTTTGGAAGGATGACAAAGGTTCATCATCCACCATCGCAACTTATTTTATGCATTTCTCGAATTTCAATCAACATCATAGGATTATAGGAGCATGAAAGAGTAGCCATAACAGCATATTCTTATCCATTTTCATTTGACCAGTGGAATCTTTAGATCCCAAAAACTAGCACTAGCCTGGGGTTGTATCGAAATCAAACCTTGCCTTCTAATAATTGGTCCAAACAAAAGTTTTGGATTGTTTTCCATGAAAAAAAGGTGAAAACCATCCCAGCCCGGGTCAACTATAACAAATTCGCCAAGTCAGCAACATCATCACCGAAAGTTTGCATTGAACTTCTACTACCACTACTCAATTTCCATGTTCACAGCTTACCTTCTTATCCCTGAAATGAATCAAAATACCACCAGATCTCAAATCCCTGACATTGTTGCCCCAAAACAGGGTCCTAAATCTCACGTCACGTGCACGTCATGGCCCCTCCTCGTCGCCACGTGTCCCGTCCCTCGCTCTTTCCTTTCTTGGGCCACGTCAAGTCAACTATCGTTTAGAGTACTATAGGACGATTGCCGCCTTTGACCTCTGAATTATCCTTGACCACCAACGGTCCAAGTCCCTCCATTCCCACGACCGGTCACCTGATCCAACGGCTGGAAGGGAGACAAACTAGCGTGAAAGTATTCAATTTTGGAATTAATAATTAAAAAGAAAGAAATATGAAAAGGGTTTTTTTTTTTTGCCTTTTTTGGGGTTGTGTTGGGGCCTGGGGGAGAAGTGTTGCTTAGTGGAGGGGGAGAAATTGAGGGAAGGCGGGTGCACCAAGGCAGCAGGTAGGCCCGCACCCAAGTGGGGCGCCTAGTGCTTGGTGCTGTGAGGAAGAGAGGGATTTTGGTTTTGGGGAATGTTTATTTTGATCAAAAGAATGTATGCAGATATTAATGTGGGTTTGATGTGGGAGACAGAGACAGTAATGCAAATCTTTGACCGCTACTTTCACCCCCCCGGATATTTTATTTTATTTTGTTTTGTTTTTATACGTTTATTAAAAAAATTTTAACATCTCGAGGAAATGTCAAGGAATTTTATACTGCCACCGAATTTGCTCCCCCCGCAAAGATCAATTTTAGAAAAGAGTGGCCGGGCAACCCTCCGAAACCACCTTCGCAATCCCTGCTCTTCCAATCTTGTCTGCCATATTTCCAGGTTTTCATTCTCTAAATTTTCAATAGTAACTCTCTATTCTTCTCATGCACAGAGATGAAGCATGGAGTATTTTCATACTATGCTAAGGATGGTAACTTCAAAGTCATGAACACACATACAGCTCTCTAAATCGTTACTACTATTTTATATCGTTAGGAATTTTAAAAATTGAAAAAAATTAGTAAATAAGAGTTATCTGTAATTTTATTTGGGAAGATAATAGTACTAATTAAGAGCAGTCAGTCTATAACAAAGCTAACACATTCTTATTTTCCGTCTTATCTTTATTAAAAAAAAAAAAAAAAAGAAGAAGAAGCTCGTGCAGCACTAATTGAGGTAAATACAGGATGTACGGCCTGGATTTGGGTGGTTGGTGGCCGGTGGACAAGTTCGATCGTTCTTCCTCCTACTACTGCTGCGCTCAAACGTCTGACACGGCAGTACCAGCAAATATTATCATCACCAATAGGCAATAGCCCAGGTAAGTTATTAATAAAACGCCGGAAAGCCAATAACAAAACCAAAAGAAAAAAAAATCTGCAAAATCATCTAACCTTTTTCTTTATTGTTGTTTTGTTGGCTGCTTTGGTATATTAGACCGCCGACGAGTAAGTACAGTTTTCAATTGTAATTGATTGCTGTCTTTCAAATTCTTCTCAGCTCTTTTAATGTGATTGTTAGCACTTAAAGCTCTTGGATCATTCGTAAATCTTCTTGTTTAACGTCTCTGGTCTTTAGGCTCAGATGCTCGTTCTTTAGTTTTGGCTGTTAACTCGTTTGGGTTGTCAACTTTCAGTCAAAACTTAATGGTAATCTTGGGGAGAATAATTAATGAGAATGCCCAATGAAGTATTATCCGGAAATGTCCTATCTTTTGAATTTTCTTCGACACTATGTATAGGGGCATTTCTTGAGGAAGCAGTGTTTGGTAAAGATGTCAAATGGGCTTCTGATTTTTGTATCTGTTTTCATGAGCTGAAGCCCCCCCCCAAGATTATCTATTCTGATCTGCGCAGATATGGCACCGGATTGGAAAGGTAGTTCTTGGCTTCTGCGTTTCACATCTTCTCTTTGACTTTGGGGATGATTGTCTATCGAAAATCTGTTTATATCTAATCTGAATGTTCTGTTTCTTGTTCCTGTTTTATTATTTTTAATCAATTTCTGATGATGCATTCTGCTCCACAGGAAAAGCTATTGTCATAATGGGAGTTAGCGGTGCTGGGAAATCGTGAGTCTCAAACCTCAGTCAAAAGTTCTATTTGATTCCATTCTTTTTCACTAGTAGTACATCGTTAAATGTCTGTTTATCGATACAATCTTTTCTGAGGTATTAGTTGTTGTTGTTGATCTTTTCATGGCCGCAGAAGAATGGTATTGATCTTTCTGTTATAGTGAACTTTGAACTAGGAAGAATGGAAGTTTTACATGTCCTATAAATTGTGTCGCCATAGGAACCTACTTTTTCATTTAACAATTAGTAATATATCAAAAGTTGCAATATTTTCTAGGTTGTATTTCTGCATCTACGTAGTGTCCTGAAAGTTTCTCATTTAGGAAGAAAATGTAAATACTTCTGTTACATTTCCAAGTTTTTGTTTTTTTTTTTCCCTAAAGCAACAGCTAAACAATGGCACGAAAGTAGATTCTAGATGTTGCTCCAAGGCGTATTTACCTGGCTTTATTGGTTGCCCTGCTAAATTTTGTTGTGAAGTTACCAAGGTATACACTTTCAGCTCTATACTTCAGGACATTAGCCAACACCTGCTTCAGTCAACTAAAGGTTCCTTTGTTTCATGTTGCTTTTATGTAGACTACTAGATGAGTTGTTTAACTCTGGATATTTACGTCTTCACTGTGTTCCAGAAAACTAGTGTGATACTCATTTTCGATTGGTATTATTATTTTGCATTTGCAGAACCATTGGTCAGATGCTAGGTGAAGCTTTAAAATGCTGCTATATCGATGCTGATGATTACCATCCACAAGCTAACAGAGGTAATTCTTTCTGCCGGCATTTTGCCTGCCATGTCCACCTGTTTTGATTAGTGACAATATTGACCGGTGAAAATTGCATTAAAATCAGAAAAAATGAGAAATGGGATACCTCTATCTGAGGAAGATCGCATACCGTGGCTTGAAACACTGAGAGATGCCCTAAGAAGAAGTACAGGGAACGGAGGAACTGTAATCCTTGGTTGCTCAGCTCTACAAAAGCACTACAGAGAAATTCTTAGATCTGCAGACCCAAGTTATGAACCAGGTTCTTACATTTCTATAGTCAAATTTGTATTGTTGCATGCTCAGGCTGATGTGCTCGCTGCTCGGCTGGAGAAGAGAGCCGCAGAGGGGAAACATTTCATGCCCGCAAAGCTCTTGCAGTCCCAAATGGATTTGCTTCATATTGATGAATCTGAAGGTGTGCTTAAGGTTGATGCTACGCTAGAACCCCAGGCTATTGTGAATATCATCATACAAGCTTCGATCATCAAACCTCAGTCACAGCGAAGTCCTTGAATACTGCATTTGACCAGTTTTTCACAGGCCGTGGGATAAAGTGGTTACTACATTTATGACTGCCCCCAGGCAGATTCACTCTCCTTGTAATTTCAGAGAGTACCACAAAGTTGGATTTCTCTGTTAATCTCAACTATTTTGGTTGTCTTAAAAGAAGATTTTGTCTTTTTTTTTTTTAAAGAAGCTTTCTATCATGGAATAAGAAATGCACGATATACCGTGTTGTATTTGCACTTCCCTAATTGATCAAAGCGGTTAACTGCATTTGCTGTAGAATTTCTGGGAATTAGACAACTCAAAAGAATCTGTTTGGAGCAATTTGTTGTTTTGGTGTTTTGGAGGTGGGGGGAACAAAGAATCTCTCTTCTGATAGCTATTCGTATAAAGAGGATTTTGCGCTACTTATCAGCAATTTTTTGTTAAGCGCAGGAAGCATACAACCAAGTAAGTGTAGTTTTGGTTTCACGCCAACATTATTGAAAGATGACTTTGAAATGCTTTGGAAAGCAAAAAAGAAGACGAGGGATACAGAAGCCCCCTTCCCCCCCCCCCCTAGCACAACCTCGCCAAATAAGTGATTTTTTTTGTCTCACAGGACGGCAAGAACTCACGCACATAGTTAGATCAACACTCAGAGAGTCATCAAAGACAAGGGGGACCCACAAAGCAACCCGATTCAGCCAATTGGTGACCAAACGGATCACCTGTGAACCTTAAATCCAGAGTAACTATTCCACGATCTTTCGATGTGGGACGGGGCGAGATTTCATGGTTGAGTGCTAGCTTTTAAGTAAAAAAGTACACTATCTACAAATGAAATAAATAAAGAGGGTGAAAGAAACTTCACAGGCGAATTCGATGCGCTGGACATTGTCATTAACATGGATTGACCGGCCCATTAGGCACTCTGATTCCAGCGATTGTTACTTGGTCTGCTCCTGGTTTGGGTCTGGACCAAAAAAAGCTCGTGACGTTTGAGTTTGTCTATAGAATGGATACGTGAATCATCGAAAATTTTTTTTCCAGAAGCTGGGGTCCAAAATCATCTGTTTTTTCTTTTTTCTCAATTAAAATTTAATTAAGCTTGGATGTCACCACATTTTGGAGATAATTGCTTTTGAATCCTTAAATAAACAGCAGCATTTTTTGCCCTTTAATACTGAGACAAAAGACATCTGAGGAGGAAGGATTAATGATTAATCATGCCGCGCCATGCAAATTGCACCAGTTCGACCTGTTTCTTGATAATTCTGCAGCATATGTCACCGGCCAAAGATCTCATCTCACTCACTTACCCCTTGAAAAAGTCCAAATATTCCTTGTAAAATGTCTACATTCCACCAACTCCTTTAGCGTTAGAGGTTTGAGCATCGTTATCATCATGTATTATTAAACACAAGAAAGATATATATGTGTATATGTATAATCTCTCTCTCTCTCTGTCTCCTGCAGTTTATTCAAAATGGAAGTCTGCTGTGATTTCAGCAGCGGACTTTTGTGCATACCAAACACTTAACTAAACTTACAACCAACCAATTTATTAGCCAAACAACTCCTGACTTTGGCTAATAAATTAAATTAACGAGTTCCAATCGTAGCAGCAGTCAGCTGAAGCTGTCACAAAATGATCGAAGCAGGTTTTGATAACTACCCCTTGTGTAATAACTAAAGGAAAAATCTTTGAGTTGAGCCTACCAATACCATACACTTGTACAAACAGCTACTTAACAAGACCACAAAAGAGTCCTTGCCTTGATAACAGAACAGAACAGAGGCCTATTTCTTTCTTTATTTTAATGCCTTCTCTCTGTCAAACATAATTATTGTCTCAATTGCCACATTCTTTCCCTACATTTCTTATCCACTTCGATTTGATAACAAATTTAATTCGTGATCATGTCATTATCATGCATCATCATTGTGAAGACCTTTCATCGTATATTATTGCTTTAATTCTTCTTTCAAGTCTTTAGATTATCTCTGACACGAATAGAAAAACAGCTTGTCCGCTGCTATAGATGTTAGGAGTACATAATATAGATGCAGACTTCCCAATAGCTTCTCGTCACTTATCGGGATAACATTAACAAACTACAACTAAGGACCGACGTTGTCTTAGTCGTGCACCTTTTGCAGCATCAAATACTCTCTATCTTCTACGCGTCTGAATATCCTACACAGCTGACAGCACTCCATCACCTCACCCCCCAAAACAATTCATGGATACGTATTTATATGGGTATATACCATTGTTCACTTTCTTCTTTATTTGAGAAGAAAAGCTTGTTGTGGCATTTGTAGTCAAACAAGTTAATCTTTAACATGTTCTGGAAATGAAAAAAAAGAAAAAGAAAGGAAGTTAATTAATATTTATTATTAAGTTAAGAAAGTGTGTCTAAGCAATGGCAATGGTTTATCTAATAATACAGAAGGCAGCATTATTGTGTCACATATGACGCTATGTCACCTCAACAAGTTCATGCACATAACAACAACTAGTAATCGTAATGATATTTTTCTTCAGGATTAGAGGCCTAAATTATACTTTTGAAGCCGGAATTGCCTGTGATGCAACTGCTGTGGATGCAGCAGCATTTGCGACTGCTGGAGACAGCGTTTTCGGATGGGCCAACTGGGCCTCTCGCACAGGGCCCGACAAGCAAGCATAAAACAGAAAGCCCTCACGTGTGGGTGGGGCTTTTTAAGGTCGAGGCAAAGTCAACATTCTCTTTCGGGTAGGTCCAAGTTGCCGAAATCCAGTGTCTTTTTCGGGTACAACACGTGTGAAGTGACCCGGAGGGGGCTGCCTTGATACTTCGCGGTCACCCACGAATGTGGACATTTCACGTGATTTTATCATATTTTTAGCTAGAATCCGGGCTTTTGGTTGAGTGGTTCTTAACTAATCCGTCACTAATTTATGAGCTAGTAATAAATTTCTGTGTTTATCGTTCCATGCATTGTCTATTCTTCGGGGGTCCGAATGTTTCAAAAGATTTAGGTCCTACAAATTGATTTGATTTAATCAATTGACAATTAAATACGTCATCGTTTCTTCAGTCACATGTAATTTGATCATGCATGTATCCCTCAAAGGAGCCATCTTTGCGAATCAAGCACAGAATTAGAAGAGGAGACATGGAGGAGGGTGATCGAAGTGAAGACTGGCCTTTTGATATATATATATATATGTATATGTATGTATTCCTATGAACCTTTTTTAATTAAGCACCACCGGCAGAGCGCTTATGAGTTCTTAATGCCATTTTGACAATTATTTATTGGGAGTGAGAGTAGTGACAAAATTTTCGCAGCTGCACGTTGATTTGGAATTCATGTTGGAGGATCGTTCTAATCAGAAATCCTAATCCTCCACGCGGATTCGAATCTGTCAGTGTCCAAAATCTCCAATTCAAAGAATTGTTTGGTTTTGGATCCAAGTCAAATCATGAATACCTCTTTTTGTCTCAGCCAGCGCCCCATAATAATTGGAGCCTCAAGTCACTTCGTGCAGTGCACATGCCGATTGCTTATCAGACCTGGTGAAATCGGAAAATCAATTGCTGCTTCCCAATCATCAACTCTCTCTCTCTGTAATTTTACCCTTTCTCAAGGAATCAACTCCCCGACTTATTAGTCAGTCAGTCAGTTAGTTAGTCACTTATGTTCACCGTCTTCCCTTTTATACATATATATATATATGACACATGACACACACACATGTGATGTGAGCTGAAGAAATTATTTATAATGTCATATACTAATAAAACAATCAGATCGGATAAAACAAACAAGAGGGATAGATTTTCAGTTCAATCATCATAAATATGTTTGGTTGTTCTAATTTCAGCTGTATGCAAATATATATTCAGTGGATAATAATTGCAATCATAGTCCGGTCCACGCAGAGCAAAACCACGAGTCCACGTTTGAGTAATTAATTAGATATATCCAAATCAAGTTAGGCTAATTTTGACTCATATCTTGCCTTACGCGCATGCTGTTTGTTATTCATGGCCAATTGAGATTATGAATCAATTAATTATCCTTGGCAGATGGCCCTTTTTAATTTGGACCATCGATCGATACCCATTCTTTTGATTATTATTTTTAAAAAAAAAAAAAATTGTGGAAAAGAACATAGTAGTATTATTTTCTTTAGTCTTAAATTAGGGTATGTTCATCCCATTATTAATTGCTGAAGAAAGACTCTGATCAAACTGTCTCAGCACATAAACTTTAATTATTTTTTGACGCGCAACTACGGATAATGTGGTGGTATTTTTTTACGCAGAAATCGTTGTCCGCCTGACCAACCATGAATGCAGGAGGGGTCAGCTTTAGTTCAGGAGGTAGGATGCAGAAATGAGAGGGAGCTTCTTATTATTGCTGTTGTCACTATTCACCAGCGTCGCCTTCTAAGTCACCTTCATGGTTGGGTGGACTGTCTCCAAAAGCAGAACTCAGTTTCACTATCACTCTTTTAAAGTTTTTCCATCTCTTGTTTTCTGGTTTCAAGTCTTTCTCAATCGCCTTCAGAAAAAACTCCACTTTCGGTCACCATTATTGCCCAAATATATCACGGATATTAATGCATATATGACCTCCAACACCTCTCTGCCTCTCTCTATCATGCATGCTTTTGTAATTCAACGGACCAAACACTCTCGCTATGAGTGATTATTAATTGAGGTTTTGTCCAATTATTAACTTCGATTTCCAAAGAGGATGCCATTTCTTACCAACTTCAGTGATTTGCCATCTCCAATTCAATTAACTGGAGTATTTCAGAAAAGCACATTGGCATAAACAACAGACGCAAATTAAAGCGAGAAAGGACACGTTCTCGTTGACTTAATTAAGAGGTGCATTATGATCATTTGATCAGGCAACTCATGAACATATATGCATATATATATATATATATATATATATATATATATATATATATGTATGGGTGTGGATTGAAAGGATGGCTTTTTTAAGTGTTGCAGTACTTGTCAAGTAAAGAGAGGACAGGCGTTAAAGAATGAATGATTCCAACTCCAAGTATATACGAGCAACACTTGAAAGTCACCTCACAACGTTGTAAAACTAAACTGCATGTTCATTATCTCATGAATAATAATAGTAGGATTAGCGGTTATGTTCTTTCTGATGGAAACCCTGAGCAAGATCTCAACTCAGTAGAAGACACCGATAATGCATGGATAGACTTCTCTTTTTACGCAGAAATTCTATCAACTCGACAATGATGCACAGAC